TGATTCTGCTGCCCTCCCAACTCCCGAGTAGCGGGATTACAGCCCTGCCACATCGCCCGGCTACATACTTGTATTTTTAGTAGAGAGGGGGTTTCAGCATGTTGGCCAGGCTGGTCTCGACTCCTGACCTCAGGTGATCCCGCCCGCCTCGGCTCCAAGTGCTGGGATTACAGGTGTGAGCCAACTGTGCCGCGTCCCAAAATCAGGAATATTCTGATTGGTAATGACGGGACAGCTTCCGGAAGTAGGAGAACAAGGGCACAGGATTCCAGGCCAGAAGGCATCTAGGCAAAGGAGGGTGTGCTCAGGCTGCCTCCTTTGGGAATGGCGAGTGTGTTCTGAGCTCAAGGTTCTTGTGGTAGACAGAGAAGATCAGGAAAATCAGTTTGAGCTGGCCAATGTGCGCTCTGAATACCTGCTCAGGGAGCTCGCGAGGTGGGCTTACCTGCAGACTCCGAGGCCATGAAGGCATGGGCTCTTTGGAGCCGGAAGATGTCAGCGCTGGTCTCTTCCCACACTTCTCCCGCTCCACACTCCCGCCACCCATCCTAAGCCCCGTTCCATTGCTTTGGTGCAGGCTCAGGCCTCTTTCTCCACCCAGTCCCAGTCATCCCGGGCAGTCTCATCAGGGAAGAAATGCCATGAATTCTAATCCTGTGGCTGCTTCCTCCACATCAGCTTTCACACCCTCTCCCTGGATCTCCTTTTCAGATCCATCCCTCTTCTGAGATCCAGTGCCACTCTGGCCACAGCCCCCATCCTTCTAGCAGTCTCATGTTCTATCCCCAAATCTACATGGGGCCACCCCAATGCCCCACTTACAGAAACTACGTCTTTTATATGTCTCTGCTTCACCCCATCATCTTAAGCACCCCTTAAACCACTCTCATACTTGTGCCCTCAGTGTCCTTACCTTGTCCATCCACTGTGTGTATGTTTACATTCCCAGGCCTTCTACACTCCAGACATTGTCTCTGTGCCATCTTAGGGTCCTGAGGACACTGTAGCCATGTGGCCTCAGCCACATGCCTAAGTGCCCCTAGGGAGGCATGCAGCTTTGATAAAGCTTTATCATTCTCCTCAAACCAAGAATGTCTGTTGTTACAAGAAGAAACTTTTCATTGCCATTTATTAGGGAGTTAGAGACCATCAGGCCTGAAATCCCCCTCTTGCCAACCTACCTTGACCTCTACCTACCTTATTCTATTCCTACCTCCTTACCTTCCCTTACCTGCATAGGGTGAAATTACCCTTTACTTGTCTGAGACCAGTCCCTGCACCATCAGTTACCCTTTCCCCTGATTCTTGGGGGTTTTTCTGTCAAGCTAGCTCTTTCCACACAGCCTAGAAACATGAAGAATTCAAAAAGCAAAAAACCTTCACTCTGTATCACGTTCTAGTTATCTCCTATTTTTTTCTCCCCTTCCCATCTAAATCTGTACACACGATCCATTTTGTCTAATGATCCATTAATTATTCACGAAAATATTTTTACTTTTATGCCTCTCCTGAAACATCTCACCGAGTTGATCAGTGACACCCCAATCAAATATCTTGAATTTACTTAGCCTTTTTTTCTTTTGCAGAGGAGATCTTCCAGATCTTCCTCTGTAGCCTAGACTAGAGTGCTGTGGCACAACTGTCCCACCTCAGCCTCCTGAGTAACTAGGACTGCAGGTGTGCACCAACACACCCGGTTATTTTAAAATATTTTTTGTGGACACTGTTGCCCAGGCTGCTCTCAAACTCCTGCCTTCAAGCATTTCTCCTACTTTAGCCTCCCAAAGCACTGGGATTCCAGGCATGAGCTACTGTGCCTGGGCCTGCCATGCCCAAATACTGTAGTCTTTGACACTAGTGTAATATCTCCCAACTTAAAACAAAATACCCCTGTGACTCTACATTACATTCCAGGTACTGGCTTGTTTCTCTGCTTCTCTTTGAAGTAAAACTCACCAGTTTCTACTTCTCCTTCCCTCTCTTTAGAAACATTTCAACTGGGCTCTTGTTCCAGCCACTCCATGAAAACAGCTCCTGTCAAGATTGCCAGTGTGATCTCCAGGTTGTCAAATCCAGTGGTCACTTTTTATTTATTTTTGTTTTTGTTTTTTTGAAACAGAGTGTTGCTCTGTCACCCAGGCTGGAGAGCAGTGGCACAATCTCGGCTCACTGCAACCTCCACCTTCTGGGTTCAAGGGATTCTCCTTCCTCGACCTCCTGAGTAGCTGGGACTACAGGCACACACCACCATGCCCAGCTAATTTTTGTATTTTTAGTAGAGACAGGGTTTTGTCATGTTTGCCAGGCTGGTCTTGAACTCCTGACCTTGTGATCCCCCCGCCTTGGCCTTCCAAAGTGCTGGGATTACAGGCATGAGCGACTAAGCCTGGCCACTACCTCCACTTCTAACACTCTGGTCCAAGCCTCATCATTCCTTACCTGGAGTTTTGCAGCTACCTCCTAACTGATGTCCCTGTTCCACCATTTCCACCCCTAAGTCTATTCTCAACATAGAAGCCAGAGTGATCCTTTTAAGTCATTATTCAAATCACATCACCTTTGTCAGATTTTTCCAGTGTTTCCTCATCTCATTCAGAATAAAAATCAAAGTCCTGGCCAGGCATGGTGGCTCACACCTGTAATCCCAGCACTTTGGGAGGTCGAGGCAGGCAGATCACCTGAGGTTCAGGAGTTTGAGACCAGCCTGATCAACATGGCAAAACGCCATCTTTACTGAAAATACAAAAATTATCCGGGCATGGTGGCAGGCGCCTGTAATCCCAGCTGCTCAGAAGGCTGAGGCAGGAGAATTGCTTGAACCTGGGAGGTGGAGGTTGCGGTGAGCCAAGATCACGCCACTGCACTCCAGCCTGGGCAATAGAGTGAGACTCCGTCTCAAACAAACAAACAAAAAAGAGTGTGTAGTGAGAAGAGAAGGGGCTGAAAGGACCCTGCTTGACCCATTAGAGCCAGCAAAGGAGAGAGCAGGGAAGGAACTACCAGAGGTGGACAGAGTTTGGAGAAAACAAGGTTAAAACATCAAGAGAAGAGGATTTTGAGCAGGAGAAAGTGGCCAAATGTCAGTGCTGCAGATATGTTAAATAAAAGAAAGACAGAAAGTGCCCTGGGTGTGCCAGTTATGACTTTGGTGAGGGCATTGTCAGTGAGTATCAGAGACAGATGCCAGATGACAGTGGAGTGAGGAGGACAAGCAAATGTGTGAGGCCTGGCTGGGAAAGGAAGGAGAGGGAATAGCTATAGGAGAGGGTTAAGGAAGGCGTTCCAGACATTTCTTCCTCCCATCACCCACTATTAGCCCTCTGCCCTGCCACCTGCCTGTACCTCCCCACTCACGCTTAGCAAACTATTCCTACTTACCAAAAAGCAGGATGGGGTCCCTGCATGTGGAATGGCTTCATGCCCACAGAAGTAGCTCCTTTACAGATCCCAAAAGACCATACACCCTGCCCCTGCACCCTCATTCTCAGATCTGCCTGTCAGGCCTCCTAGAGGGCCCTTTGCCCCTCCCTCAGAATCTCTACCCTTAACAGGGAGGATGGCAAGAGGGGAAAGATAATAATTTTCTTTTTTTTTTTTTTTTGAGATGAAGTTTCCCTCTTGTGCAATGGCACAATCTTGGCTCACTGCAACCTCTGCCTCCCTGGTTCAAGTGATCCTCCTGCCTCAGCCTCCCCAGTAATCCCAGTAGCTAGGATTAGGCACCCACTGCCACACCCGGCTAATTTTTATATTTTTAGTAGAGACGGGGTTTCACCATTTTGGCCAGGCTGGTCCCAAACACCTGACCTTAGGTGATCCACCCGCCTCGGCCTCCCAAAGTGCTGGGATCACCGGCATGAGCCTCTGCGCTTGGCCAATGATCATGATTTTTTTTCAGAATTAGGGCTTTCCAATAGTCAACTCCTTTATTCAGCCAATATTTATTAAGCACTGCTGTTTTCCTAGCTGTGAGCTGAACACTAGGAATAGTTCATTGGAAAGATGGCTTCTACTCTCCAGGACCCCACAGTCTAGTTGGGGAGGTAGAGGAATCCACAATCACCATACCAGCTAAGAGGCACCATGATGAGGTAGGCCCAGGAAGTCACAGGAGAAGTGAGTGGATGCCTATAACTCTGAAGTAAAGACCAGGAAGGCTTTCCCCACATGCACAGTGGGAACAATACCACAGCATCTGTGGCCCATCCCTCCCTATTTTACGCTTACCTGGCTCCTTCCTTCACCTTCATGAGGTTACAAGTTCCCTGACAGCTCTTACAACATTATTAATCTATTTCTCTCCTTTCTTACTAGTGCCTTGTAGATAAATAGGTGAGCATCAAATATTAACAGAATGAATTAATGTATATTAATAAAGATGAGAGGATCTGGAGTGATTTAATTATTGTTCAACATTTTAAATAACAACAGATATGATTTATTAAGTGCTCCTTATGGTAGGTACTGTGCTGAACAGTATATAATTTATTTTAATTAATCCTCACAAAACTCCACAAGATACAGGTACTACTAATAATTCCCTTTTAAAAAAATACAAAACTTGACTGGGTGCGGTGGCTCACGCCTATAATCCCAGCACTTTGGGAGGCCAAAGTGGGTGGATCACCTGAGGTCGGGAGTTCAAGACCAGTCTGGCCAACATGGAGAAACCCCGTCTCTACTAAAAATACAAAATTAGCCAGGCGTGGTGGTGCGTGCCTGTAATCCCAGCTACACGGGAGGCTGAGGCAGGAGAATCACTTGAATCCAGGAGGCAGAGGTTGTGGTGAGCCAAGGTCATGCCATTGTGCTCCAGCCTGGGCAACAAGAGCAAAACTTTGTCTCAAAAAAAAAAAAAAACAAAAATTACCAAAAATTTGTCAAGAAGATGTGTAAGTTGCCAAACATAACACTGCTGATATGTGGTGGAGCCAAGATTTGAACCCAGGCAGCTCAATTCCAGAACCAGGACAGTCTCTCTGGGGCACTGCCTCTAATGCCCAGGAGAATTCTTCTGGAAAATGAAGTTGATTATAATTTTTTAATGTATGAATCATTTCATATTTTAAAATTAAACTTACCCTCCTCCAGGCTCCCATCGCTTGACGTCTGTAATTATTACATTAACTGCTTTGACATCTGTCACATCCTGGTTTGTCATATGGTGTGTGTGACTTACTCCCATATTGCACTAGAAATTCCTTAGGTACAGGAATTGTATCTTTATAACATATCAGCACAATAGCTCGCATCTTACTGGGAACTCAGTATGATTTTGCCGGAAAAAATTCCATGTCACCATTATGACAGATTTTTTTCCTTATGATGATGAAGATGTTTTCTGTGTTAATGACTCCAGCCTTCAGCTACGTTTGTATGGCAAGGATGGAAGAAAGGGGAAGGACGACTTATATGTGCCAAATGCTATGCTGGGGCCTTTAGACATTTCCCATTTAACCTTCACAACAGCCCTGTGGAGGAAGTGGTATTGTCTGAATCTGAGAGATGGGGAAGGAATTCCTTGGAGAAATCACTGAGTTATAACCAGTGGAGCTGGAATTGAAATGTGGGTCTGTCTCACTGCAGCTTTTTTCTGTGCATTGCCTAGATGGCTGATGCTGACCCTGAGGAAAGAAACTATGACAACATGCTGAAAATGCTGTCAGATCTGAATAAGGACTTGGAAAAACTATTGGAAGAGATGGAGAAAATCTCAGGTAGGATGTGTGAACCCAAAAGCATCTGAGACAGGTCTCAATCAATTTAGAAAGTTTATTTTGCCAAGGTTAAGGATGCACCTGAGACACACCCTCAGGAGGTCCTCAGGACATATGCTCAAGGTTGGCAGGGTACAGCTTGCTTTTATACGTTTTAGGGAGGGAGAATACATCAGTCAGTACCTGTAAGAGGTACATTGGTTCGATCTGGAAAGGTGGGACAACTCAAAGGGGGATGATTCCAGGTTACAAGTAGATTAAATGTTTTCTGATTGGCAACTGGTGGAAAGAGTTACTGTCTAAAGACCTGGAATTGATAGAAAAGAATGTCTGGGTTATGATGATAAGGGGTTGTGGAGACCAAAGTTTTATCATGCAGATGAAGCCTCCAGGTAGCAGGCTTCAGAGGGAATAGATTGTAAAGGTTTCTTATCAAACTTAAGGTCTGTGTTCATGTTAATGCTGGTCACCTTTTTCTGAATTCCAAAGGAGAGGCAGGTATGATGAGGCATACCCAATTTATCCTTCTCCTCACGGCTTGAACCAATTTTGGCCAAGCAACACACCCACCTTGGCCTCCCAAAGTGTTGGGATTACAGGCGTGAGCCAGGGTGCCTGGCCAAATAATTTGTGTTCACTAGAGCAGACTTTAGGAAATCTATACTTAGAAATGTTTGCAATATTTTGCCTATGTACTTGTGAACTGTGAATAGCTGAGACACGTATCAGTTAATTTAGAAAGTTTATTTTGCCAAGTTTGGGGACACTGACCTGTGACACAACCTCAGGGGGTCCTAATGACATGTGCCCAAGGTGGTCAGAGCACAGCTTGATTTTATTTATTTATTTATTTTGAGAAAGAGTCTCGCTCTGTCGCCCAGGCTGGAGTGCAGTGGCACAATCTTGGCTCACTGCAAGCTCCGCCTCCCGGGTTCACGCCATTCTGGCCAGTGTTCCTGGGCCCATCCTCTACAAAAATATAAAAAAATTTTACTGGCGTGTGGTGGTGGGTGCCTGTAGTCTCCCAAGCTCTAGGTGAGGCTGATGCAGGACGAGAGAAATTGCCTGAACCTGGAAGGTGGAGCTTGCAGTGAGCCGAGATTGCACCACTGCAACTCCAGCCTGGGCAACAGGCGGCCAAAACTTTGTCTCAAACAAAGAAAAAAAATTTATTCTATCTTCTATCTATCTATCTATCTTATCTATCTATCTATCTATCTATTCTATCTCTATGTCTATCTCAGTCTCCTCATCTTTGAGACTCTACCCCAGTCTCATGGCTTACTGTGAGGATTAAAGTGGGTGAATGATAATGTACAACGTGCCTGGCCACACATGTATTGGACTGGAATGTGTCCCCCCCAGAGTTCACATGTTCGTGAAATGCCTAACCCCCGACGTGAGGTATTAAGGGAGTCGGGTCTTTGGAGATGATTAGTCCTAGGGGTAGACCTCCTGAGATGGCATTTAGTACCCCTTTAAAGAAGGGAGACACAAGAGCTTACTCTCCTCTATATGCAAGGATATGTGGGCTTCTATGTGAGGATACAAAAGGTGGCTGGTCCGGGCAATGGGTGGGCTCTCACTTACCTATAATTCCCAGGCACTTCGGAGCTGAGTGAGTGAGTGATCACTTGAAAGCCAGAAGTTTTGAGATCAGCTGTGGCAACATGTTGACAAACTCATGCCTCCTAATAGAAATATAATAAATTTAGCCTGGGCGTGGTGGTGTGCTACCCTGTAGTTGCAACTACTCAGGAGGCTGAGGTGAAAAAAATAGGATCCCTCCGAGCTGTGAACGGCAGAGTTGCAGTGTAGCCCCAAGATTGCAC